AAATAAAACAGTATGCAGATAACCACCGAAGTTAAAGAAGCTTTGAAGTCCAAGATTAGGTTCTACTCAAACTACAACCCTTCAAATAGAGAACACTTAAAAGAGGAAGTGAATAGAAATTATTGCGATGACACTGTGGGTTGTTACAATGTAAGGAAACACCTAGTCGTTTACTGTAGGAAAAAGGCCAAAAAGGTATTTCACCCACGGAGGACAAAATGGTAAAATTACCACACAAAATTAGGGTTAGGGTTGAATCACCGGATCAACCCTAACTGTTACAGATCCCACACTCGGCGCCTGCACATTACAGCGAGGTCCTGCAGCCACTATCTGCAATCAAAAGGGGGCCAAGCAATCAGCGCCTTCTTCATTATTTCTCTTTTAACACCAAAAGGTCTATAAAAAGCCTCGATTTGTAACCCGAAAGCATCAAAAAATAAAGTAAACCATTCTCAAAACTCTTTCTTACTCTCTATTTTCTTCTCCCTATTTCTTTCTTCTTTCTCTCTTTCTTTTCTCAGTCCAGAAACCATGTTTAAGGCTTGTGACAGACCGAGTTAGTTAGTGGTTGCTGCATTCTGTTAATCACAGCAATCATCCTATTCATGATATAAATAGGTTGCTGCAAGATTGTTAGGAAAAACGGAACAATTGAATTTAAATCTCAACAACTTTAGCTTCCCTCTTTCTCTCTCCTCTCTCTCTATCTCCCTGCCTTACTCTCTTCCTAAGTTCTGCTACAGCTAAAGTTTGTCAGAGCTAATGACTCAAGCATTTGACATTCCTCTATGTTGCTCAGACTTAGGTTAGATACAGGTATAGATTTAAGTGTCTGACTTGCTATACCATGACTCAATCAATAAGAGTCTTGAAATTGAGTGCAGGTACTTGGATTTTTTATAAAAAAAATTAACACAATTTTATATGTTAAGCAATTATCTCTTACACTTAAGAAGCTCTGGATGGGATTATATTTTAACGCATTTGAATAAGCCCACTTAAAATACTTACAACCCAAATATGATGTGATCCTAAATGGTCCAAAATTAGTCCCAATGATGCAATCCCGCAGGACCCGACCCAAACGGGCAAGGAGTTGTCAAATCTTTCTGTTCCCTAAACGAGATCGTTTCAAACGGAAAAATGAATCCAAATTACCTAAAGTGGAACAGCCCAAAAAGGAAAGTAACTACATCTCTAAATATTTTCCTAATTGAGATTATTTTAAAGAGTGGGCTAAATTTGTTCAAGCAAAAAGACTTGAGACCCAGGAAGAAACTTGTGAACTTGGAAGCTTGTTTGGAAGAAGATAGGCCAAGTTGAGGCCCAATCCAAAGGAGAGTCAAGGCTTCCCGGCCACAAAGCCGCCCCACAACCCAAGCAAGATGCGCCAAAGGAGAGCGAATCAGCCCAACCCACGCCCTTGGTAAGTTTCGGCCCACACATGGGAAGGCCTTTCCTTGCACGTTGGGCAGCAAGCATGTGCAGGATAGCTTGCCGCACACGCATAAGAGAAGTGCGCACATGCTGCAGACTTTTGTTTTGATGCGTCGAAAGAATATTACCTCACCCACCAAATGTACGCGAAAACTTTTGTTTTGCATTTGCACGAGCAAGGAAGATTAACTGTCTTTATAGACGCGCGAAAACCGTTGCTCCAAGTTTTGGTTTTAAAGCATCGCATCATTGAGTTTGCTTATAATTGGCATAGAAAAACTTAATTATTCATAGAGTGTAGCCGTCATCGGGGTAGTAGAAGTAGGAAAACCTTTCGGTTATATCCATTGGAATTGATCGGATCTCTTATGTTAGTCCGAATTGTTTTCAAGTTTCTATCATTCGTTGTGCTTTTGTTCCCGTATATATTTGAGTAACTATTCATCGTAGTTACTTAGTATTTAATTAGAGCACATCAAATTCTTCGTCTATGTGCTTCATTTGAGTTTTTAGAATACAAGATCCCTTTTAAGACTAATGTGCAGGTCCTAATAAATTGAACTTGATTCTCGACGCTCAGTTCCGCAGAAGAAGCTATAACATGAGTGACTGTGAGATAAACACGAGCGAAGAAAAGGGAGTGAGATTTTTGTTTCACTAACCTTTCTTGCAAAGTCTTTTCACAATGAGTTTTCGTGAAAGACTCGCTGCACTACGATACGATATGTGAAAATTCCGACATCTCTTTGACGAATGGAAGGAAATAGTGCAAGAGGCAGTTCGATCATGTAATGATGTGCCGGAGAACCTCCCTAGTCAAGAAGAGATTCAAGCCCCCACGAAGGTAACAAATATGGTGGATGGATCACAAGAACCTGATCCGGATCCCAGCAAAATCATGATCCAAGTCATAAGCCACATCAACGATGAAGTCAACAAGCTGGGTAATTGTTTTCAGTTTTCTATGGTTATCACTAATCAATTCCCTTGTGATGAAGGCCAATATTCAAGAACGAATCTTTTCGAATAAGAGGAGAATGATGTGATCCTAGCTAGCCTAGAGTTAGCCCCAATGATGCAATCCCGCAGGACTCAGCCCAAACGAGCAAGTAGTTGTCAAATTTTTCTATTTCCTAAATAGGATCGTTTTAAACGGAAAAATAAATGCAAATTTCCTAAAGTGGAACAGCTCAAAAAGGAAAGTAGCTACATCCCTGAATATTTTCTTAATTGCGATTATTCTAAAGAGTGGGTTAAATTTGTTAAAGCAAAAAGACTTGAGACCCAGGAAGGAACTCGTTCTGGAAGAAGATGGGCCAAGTTAAGGCGCCTAATCCGAACGAGAGTCAAGGCCTCCCGGCTGTGAAGTGCACGACCCAAGCAAGATGCCAAAGGAGAGAGAATCAGCCCAACCCACGCCCTTGGGAAGTTTCAGCCCACACATGGGGAGGCTTTTCCCCGCACGTTGGGTAGCAAGCATGTGCAAGACACCTTGCCTCACGCGCAGGAGAAGCGCATGCATGAATCAGGTCACGCCCACATGTGGCACATGCTGTAGAGGCGTGCACACATGGAGGCAATCGCCCGCGTGCGGAAGAAAAGCACACGCATTGTGCATGCACAACAGGGGCACACGCACACCGCGGGCAAAGGAGAGTCGCACACATGGCATGCACGTGGGCCATCCGCACACCTGGGGACTGGCGCGCACATGGGCATGCTTTTCTGCACGGTTAACATGCTTGGGGTGGAGCTGCAGCTGTTGGCCAAATTTTGGACTCCTTTTCTTCATATTTTCCATGTGTTTTATTCAAAATTCACATGGGATAAAGGCTGCACTTATTTTAATAGTTTATGTATTAAAATTTTAATTAATTCTATCCCATAAGGTTATTTAATTTATATTTTTAGGATAGAGATTGGGATAGAGTTTTTATTTTATTATTTTCTCAAAGTTTGTATTTTAGTAGAACTACTTGGGTGAAAACCTATATAAGGTCCCACCTTAGGCTGTAAAAGAACAATCAATTTTGAAGATCAATAAAGCTTTTACTTTAAATTAACTCTGTTAATTATTCAAGTTCTTTAAGTGTCTTCAAGGTAGGAGCTTCAAACTGCTTCGTTGAGCGGGGAATCGGGATTGACTTATCATGTAAGTCATGGCATCTTTCTCTTTTCTTTTTTTTTCCCAGTTACTTGAATAAACTTTCGCTTAACTGACTGTAATTCCAATAGGGAGGGTTTATTTTAAGTAATTAAACGTTGAATTATTAAATATAGTGGGTTCGAGATCGAGGTGTTTTCGATTCGTGGAGTAAACGCACTCCACCCTACGCCAAAATATATAGCATGCAGCCCAGATCCATGCACTTTATGCTCTTTCTATTTGATAATGCTAGACTTAAGCATGTCCCACCTTCTTTTCTTTTATTCTAGCCACCGCTAACCTTTCCCTCTGCTTTCCTCTGTCAAGCAATAACCACATCCTCTTTCCCTCATTGACAAAACAGTACCTACCATTGCCTGCATGACACAGTGCAGCCGTGGTATAACCTCTTCTTCTCACCAAACAAAAGCGTGTCCAAGATGCAAATCAAATGTGAGATATGTATTTCATACCGTTACCATAGTAAACATACAGCACAAAAAGTTCCAAGTTCAAACAACATAGTTATTCCTAGATCTTAATTATTTAACATATAAAATTTTGTTATAATTTTACATTTGATGTATAACCAAACCAATTCAACTCTTACTTTTTAATTCCACAATATGGAGTTATATTCTAACATATGAATGGAAAGTTATAAATCTTTAACATAAAATACGAATTAGACGGAACTAACTTGAAATTAAAATGTTATTTTCATTCTAATTTTTTCTCATTGTAGTGTATCCTCATTCTTGTGAATAACATATAAAATCTGAACCTCAGTGTAGTGTATCCTCATTCTTATGAAGAAAATAAGAATATGAACCAAACACAATTTTAGTTCCATCATTTGTACACAACCAAACTGTGGCTAAGGCAGAGGAAAATCTAAAGTGACAAAAAGGAAAGATTTCTGAATACTCATGCTAGCAGCAATATTGACGAGCTTACTCGCCCAGTGATGCCATATTAGATTATCATAATATGCAGCCAGGAAGAAAAACAAAAACTATATCCTACTGAACAGAAATTAGATCAATCTTAAGTAGTGTAAGATTTCATAATTCACAGTCAAACAAGATCTATATCAATTTAGATAGCCAACAAAACTGAAGCAGAAAGGCTCAGAAAACAGCAGTAAAACAGACAACTATTTTCAGCCTTTCATCTTGCACAAAAAATTTTTTTAAAAAAAAAAGAAACCGCACTTGAAACAAAACTTAACTCGAACAATTTAAAACAAAAAATAAAAACAATTTAGAACATTGAATTGGAATAAGAAAAAAATAGATTCCATTTAGTTGCATTGAGAAAAAATAGATTTTACTTTGTTATAGAGAAGGGGAGATGGAAATGGAGGCAAGGAGGGAGAGATAGAGAGAGAGAGAGAGAGAGAGACCACTCCTACCTGGTCAATGATATCATCCAAAGGATTATTTGGAACATCCAATGATCGAACTATCTCCAATATTTTTGACTTGCGCTCTACTGCTGCTTCATACCTGAGGTTTATGGATAATGTTTTCACTCCGAAGGATATAGGTAGTATACACAAAACTAATGAGTTGACCTAATAGCGACTTTTTCCACCACCAGCAAAATCAAAATGAAAATTGACTAAAAGGCAAGAACAATGAAACAGATGAACCTCTTCAAAAGTTCTGCAACATAGGCACGTCTTGCTTCGATATACTCATCTGTTTTTTCCTTACATGAATGACATGACCACTCTTCAGATACTAAATCTGTTAGAGGTGGGACTAAACAGGCCAGATGTACCAGTTGACCACAACAGGAACACTGGAGCAATTTCTTCCTTTCCTGAAGTTATGTTATAATAGCTATCAACATCTTGCAGTTTGTCAAGAAATCTAAACAAGTTGAAAAAGGTTACCTCCTCACAATTGCATATCTCACAGATCTGAAACTCATCATCAGATTCGGTAGATTCATGTGCGGAATCTGCTGCATTGATTCAACCAACTCAGACACAAGTACCCACCTCAAAGATCATAAATAGATTACACTTGGCTTGGGTAGGGGAGTATAAACATATAGCACAATTAAACTGAAGAATATAGCTATAGAAAGAGAAGTGGGTTTTTCAATGATAAACATTTGCCACCTTTTTTGGACACCTAAACTCATCTTGTTAAGGTTAATAACCTTAAAAACCAGCAAGTAAATCAATCAAGTTACTGGAAACATATTTCATAAGCATATATGCACGTAAAATGTCATATTTCGAAGAATTGACCTAAGCAAAAGGTTCTATGCATCTATCACTGACAGAAAAGACTAATGATACATTTGCCTGATAATTATTCATCAAATACAGATTACAAACCCTGAAAGAGGTTTCAATTTGGTGAAGTTGTTGCTAATTTGGCAGCTCATAACCACTTGAAATGTTTTCAGGAACCTAATACGGATGGCATTTTGTATTTTTTTGAGCTTATGAGCTCTATAAATAAGTCGCAATGACCAAACAAAAATCTAAAATACTCTTATTGTGTTAACTGACATTCTGAATGTTTTCATGGTTACAACATTTCCATTTTCTTTTTTTTAATTATCTATTGCTATCTTCATATTTTTCTCGTTTAAAATAATATAGCCCAAAAATTTTTATTTGTTCTTCTAGAAACATCTCACAAGATATTAAAAAGTTAAATCATGAAATTAAAAATTATTGTTCTACCAGCTATTTATGTTTTAGTTCTTTTAAAAAGTATAAATAATTGAATTTCTAATTAAAAACTTGCATTCTAATAGATTTGTTGATTTGTGGTTATTTTTAAAGAATTTAAAAGATACTATTTAAAAAATATTCTTCAAGAAAACAAATAACCATGTATAAGCTCATTTCCAAATATTTCAATTGCTTATTTGTACTCATACAAGTTATAAACTATTGAAACATACACTTATAAACTCCTCAAACATCCTTTAAATGACTTATTTAAAGAGTATATTTTTATGGAAATGATGAGCAACAGACGATGATATACCAACAGTGCACATGAAGAGAAAAACACAATAGAAAATATCATCTTGTAAACCCATAACACCAGAAAAGAAAATATGCAACAATTGACGGATGTGTAGCTCATTGTGTTGAAAACTCACTTTCAGATTCTTCATCACTTTCACCATCACTGGTAGGTTTCCATTTTGACACCTTCCTGACTCTCCCTTTCAACGAGACACCAGGTGATGCCAAATGCCTCTTTCGTTGAAGTTCCTTCACACTCTCCTCCCCTATAATAAAATTAGAAAGAAAGTGCCAATTCAAGCAATTCCTGCTTGAGAAACAAAAACAATGTACTAGCTGAAAAAGATACCAGCGATAGGCTCAGGCTTTTCAGGCAAATGGGTAGTTCTCTTCAACAAATTTCAGCAACAGCTCCCGAGGACCCGAAACAAAATCGTCGAGTTCAAGACCCTACCCAAAACAAGAAGAATCAAGTGCACTGGCTAAAAATATTGTAAAATAGATCATACTGGAAAGATACATGAAAATCTGTGAATGTAAATAAGATGAAAAGGAAATGCACATATTTTGTCACAGCTTCCTCAGTCCGGGCCTCTCCAGTACTCTGAAGACCAATAACCACACACTTATCCTCCAGTAGTGCTTGTTTGGCTAGTCTCACAGTAACAGGCACTTTAGCAGACATACAGATGTGTCTAAAGAAACGCTGCAACAGTATGCACAAAGATGAAAAAGGCAATAAATTAATTGAGAAATGAAAAAGATCGGTAAAGTTGAAACAGAAACCTAGAGATTCTAGAAAATGACATCGAAAATCATATACCTGATGGCTTGACCAATATAATCTCCACAATTGACTAGAATTAGGTTTTTCATTGGAAAGAAAAGTACTGACTGACAACAATTCAACCCGCAACTCTGCCCAGAATTCTGCAGCCTTTTTATACATTTCCTATGATCAAATAACAAATTGGAAAATTCTGGATTTACAGTAGTGTATAGAACATCTAAAGTTAAGACTAAAATATGAATAACCAATGAAGCAAGCTTTCTGAGACTTGAAATCCAAAACCAATACATCCAAAGTTTTAGAATATATTCTAGGATTATCTCAAAAAAAAAAAAAAAAAATAGTCTAGGAAAACCAACTAAGGAAAAAAGATGCCTTTTTGAAGTAGTCAAGACTGCATAAAGAGCAGAACTATTAAAAATCATGCAAACGCTATATAAACCAGTATATTTCACCCACAAGATTCGCTGAGAAATCAATTGTCTATTCACATTCCATATTTACAGAGGCACCAAACTGTGTGCTGTCCATGAACAAGCACACAACATCCTGGCAGCAAATAATTTATTAAGCACCATGGGCACATGCCTAAAGACACCAAAGTATCGTCTGTATGTGCTCAAGATGCAGCCTCCTAAGTAAAAAGAATATGATACTATGGGCAGAGAACAGCTCTCCTGGATAGCCTTATGCGGAAGATCCTTTCTGTCCTTGAATGTAGGATCATCAAGGCATAGAAGAATGAGTTCACACCAAAGCCCAATTCTTTTTGAGCACCCAATCCACCAAATCTACATTTTCCATTTCTTAATAGAACTAAAAAGAATCTACCCAAGATAAAGATTCCCAATATCGAGCTCGTGGATAAATAGGATATTGTACTACACCCCTTCCACCACCTAAAGAGAAGCAAAAACCAACTCAAACCTCTTTTAGTTTACATTTCTTTTAATAGAAAAGGACCATAATACTTACGATCATAGAGGTTCTGGATAATGGGATATTGTAATACACCTCTTCACCACCTAAAAAGAAGCAAAAACCAACTAAAAACCCCTTTTACCTCATATTTTAGAGCCGAATCTGGGAAACAAAGGTTCCATGGGTTACAAGGGATCTTTCAATTTGACCTCCATCCCAGCACCCGACCCCTCCACCCAGCACCTTGCTTCACCACATTAGGACCTTTCACCTCAAGCGCTACAAAGAATCCTAACACTATGAAGATACCTTTCACTTCTAGTTGAGTGGAAAGGCATGGTGAGAAAAAAATATGCAAATCCAGATCAATTTTCCATTTGAAGATGCTACTGTCTCCATCTCCCTAAAACAAAATTTTTGTCTTCCTTACAATAAGAGAAAAGAAGAAATTATTGATAAAGGCCATAATACAAGAAAGAGCTAATAACAACAAGAAGTCAACATAAATATTTCCATAAATGAAAGAGATTTTGTGGTGCAACCATCAATATACATGGTTAATTTTTTTTGTTGAAATAAATCAGTATATATGGTTAAAACTTAAGGAAAAGGTCCCCATACCTCCATTTTTGCTTCTAATGGTGCTTCAACAACCTCAAACTCAGCCCCTTTGTAGCTAAGGGTACGACATACATACATCCCCCTGACAAATTGTACCCAAAGCTACATATTAGAGTGATACATTTTACTCCAATCTGTTATAAAATTATTAAAGCTATTACAACCTTGCTTTCATGTCCATGGCAACAAGTTCCAGTGCTCCTACACCCCCTTTATCAAGTGCACCTGAAATGATATTCTTTAGGAATTCTGCTACCTTTTCATTATTGGATACAGAAGACAAGAAGTCAAGAGGAAAAATATTGGTATACAATGTTTAAGGCACGTGTGTGAAAGAGAGAGAGAGAGAAAGAAAGACAGAGAGCTGTATGAAGTAACTCCTACTAATAAAATGATCAGAATATCAGACTGTTGGAAGTAAAATGCTCATAGACACCAATATCTTTGAAAACAGACTATTCTAATTTGATTCTAAAAGGTCACATCTTTTAATGCTTGTGCCAACATCTTTAAAATTTTAATTTCAGTACAACAGTTTCAAATAATTTTCAAATTGATTTACATCTTTTCCAGAGTATAAATTTAAATTTTTAATTGGAAGATTTGATATCTCTGGCTTACGTTGGATTTAAATCCTTCCCTTGAAGTTTTCATCACCTTTTCTCTCCGCAATTGGTTGAAATAAGGAGTAGAAATATTATGGAATAAGCTACCTTTGCTGGTAAGATATTTCTGTCATTCGAAAGGAAAGACAGAGTTCTTAAACATCATGGACAATCTCCCCTGTTCATATGACCAGATTAGTGTTTCTTGCCCCTCTTAAGCCTCCAAATATGCTCTCTGCAAAGGGATTATATTACTGTCTTGTATCAATGTCTGCTAGTTTTGTAGTTTTCTTTTTTCAATCTGTTGGATGAGTATTGTATCCCCCTATTTTGTACATTCTCTTTCTTTGTTTCAAATGAAATTTCTACTTTTATCCAATAAATTATTGAAATCGAATGGATATATGACAAAGCTAGGGAAAGAACTAACATTGGGAGTTTACAAAACGATAATAACAAAATTTTTAATGAAAACAGGAAGTAGAGAGTACATAGTAGACCCTTATATGAAAATAATGAAAAAGGTAAATAAAAATTTTCAACCCAACTTTGTTTTGATTGAAGCGAGTGAAGTAAGATAGCATGTTTGCCTAAAAATGATATATGTACGTAAAACAGTACATATTTTTTCAAGAAAAGAATGAAATACGCGAGCACCAACGAGAGCAAGCCATGTAAAAGAAAACAGTACAGAAAAGTTCATAAAACATAATGAGTTCACTAATCTCTCCATTAGAAGTAAGACCTTAAACAAAAAAATATTAAATTCCGGGACCAAAGATGTCTTAGATTAAGTAGTTAGGAACCATGAAAAAACTCTTTTATTTCTCTCTTCAACTTACCCAAAAAAATGGAGTGGTCAATGAGGGCAATAATAGCCTCCTATGTCGTCCAGCCAGAATGGCCTCCCCAGCCATCTTCCCTCCTTCCACCATAAAAGAAGATGGAAAAGGGATTCATTCTCTCCAAGAAAAATAGAAGAACAGGTACTAACGATCCACCCTCTCTTTCTCAGATTGTCCATACAAAGAACCAATCCCATATAGATTCACAAACCAAGTCATATGAAGGGGCTAGGTCATGAAAGAGATGATCCTTATCTAATTCCTAGCAAATCACTCTAGCTCAAATTAATATGTAACCCAGAAATGACGATAACACATATTAAAAGGTGATAATATTAGGAAAATATTTTTTATGGAGAGACGTAAAAAGAATAGCATCATCTTCAAGCTGGAGATGGAAGACTTCTAAAGCTTCCTCGCCCACAAGTAAATTCCTTCCTAAGCCCCTACCATTACTGCTAACGAGCATAGGCTAAGAACATCAACCACCAAAGTAAACACAAAAGTAGAAAGAGGCAATAACACCTCTCCATTAATAATGAAAAATAAAGTGGTAAATGATATGCGACCCTTAATTCAACTCCTCCATCTTTCTTTAAACTCTTTCTTATCCATAACCTTGTTCGGGAAAATCTAGGTAACCTTAAAGTACACTTTCTTAAATCTAGCTTGAAAACAAGATCATTCAACTCCTTTCTAATTGCCTCCGCAGCAACCCCATTGGCGATAAGTGACATGTCAAGAATTTTTTTGTCAACAACAAAACCAATCTTACTCATGGGAATAGTTTCTTCCAACACCTCTTCTAACTGAAGAGACCATTCAGTAATGATAATCTTGTAAACACTTGTTACCAGACTTATGGGATGATTATCAACAACTTTAATAATCCAATCTCTCCTGCAAAGGAGTGATATAGTTAGAATTTATACTTGTTCTTATTCTCTGTTTAGATGGAATTGGTGTAAAACCTTGACATAACCTTCTCTAACCACATCCTAATAATTATGGAAAAAGAAATAACAATAGAAAAACCATCTAGACCTAGCGCTTTATCAAATGTTGCAATAATGTTTAAGCAAAGGTCTCAATCCTTGGATTATATTTTTTTAGCTTGCCTTTCAGCTTAGTCCATGGCTTCTTTATGGGAACTTCACCATCCGCATAACAACTGGATTAGACTGCTATCATATATTAATTGTTCTGTTACTTTTGGATGAAGGACTATCATCCTTTATTTTCTAATATCTTTATCCAATCTCGACGGGC